TATGGATACTTATAAAATATTCTCTTATCTTCTGAGAAGGAAGAAGGGCAAAGCCCTGCCTCCCCGGAGACCAGCCCAGGAGGTTCTAATGCTGGTCCTAAATCTCGAAGGCTCCAAGGCCTCTCATGTTCTGAGGATCTCTCCTCAGGCAGACAGAGCTGGATGTGGCTTCCTTCCAAGCTCAGAAACAGCCTCCTTGAATTACTGAAATGTGGGGCGTTCCTCTCCCTGGAGAGAAGTTACCAGAGTCTTTTAGCAGCATTTTTCCTTACAATCAGGCTAGCCAAGAAACGGAAGGGCAGAATCTAGCACACTTTCTGACACTGCCTATGGTTCAAAAAGTCACCCTAATAAAGAGGAGTTGAAATCTTTGCTTGGGAAATAGCAGCCTTTTACCTGCTGAGAACTGACCTTAACACTCACAGAGAAGGAAGGGAAAAAACACGAACAGAAACCAGAATCAGTTTTCCTCTTTCCCATTTAATTGCCATGTCAGATGGCAATGGAGTTTCAGCATTCAATTTTTCCTAGGTTTTGCTGAATTTGTTTTTATCCTTGTACATTACTTCTTTGAATGCTTCTTATGCGAGCAGTTGCTCCACTTTTTACACTGGGGAAAAAAAGTCATGAGACTTTTTCACGGTAGTGTTAAAAATGCTAACAGTCAAAGTAAAAGCTAAGCTATTTTAAAAGAAATTCATGACTGTTTGTTTCTAAATAGCTAAGGAACTTAGAAGAAAATAGCCCCACACAACTTACAAAAGAGAGTTCGTTCCATTTGCGTAAACAAAGAGAACGATGTAGTCCCCTAGCCCCACCCTGAGAGCTGAACCAGGCAGATTGGGCATCCTGATTGGTTAAACAGGATAACTGTCCAGTCAAAGCAGGGGGCTACAGACCATAAAATAAAGAGATTTTCTTACATAACTCAGGGCCTAGAGACATTTTCTGACCTGAGTATGCAGTGTAGATGTGTTCCTTAAATTCCTTGGCCAATGGTAACGGCCTTATTTCCTGTATGGTGACACCCTAACCAAGACGATATAGCTTTGATGCTGGACGTCATTTCCACACCCGCCAGAACTTCCTTCCAACTTAACGACCTTTAGCCTCATTGAGTGCAAAGATTATCATACTCCCACCCAGAAATGAGCCCCAGGCCTGTTCTTGCTTTTCCATTTTCCTTCTCCCTGGAAGGCTACGCAAGAAAACCACTGGATGGACAGTCATTTTAGGCCATGGTTTCCTCTTGTCCTGAAGAAAAAAAAGTAAGGTGAAAATAGCTACTCAGCCTGCATTAATTTCCCCGCATTTTCTTCATCTTATTGATTGTACCTTGACATCAAAGCTGAAACATGCCAAAAAACAAAACAAAAAAACAGCAGACAGAGACAGAGGGAGAGGGAGAGCCCATTTCTGTACGCCTCACCGTGAGCACAGAGCTGTTATTTGCCAGAGTCGCTCAACTTCCCTGGAAAACAGCCAGACTGATGCCCTCTAGGGTCTCGTCAAAAATTCCAGTTCCTGGAAAGTCAGAGGGTCAAAATTTCTCAAGGTAACCCCATGAGAAACAAAGACTTCCTTAGCTCAGTACCTGTGACAATGTATTTCCTCATTGTAAATATCACCAATTGGACCTACAAATTGTTTCGAAAGGCTCCAGCTGTTGGATGAATTTTAAACATACTGACCAGCCTAATAGAAATTGCTGGTGTCATCGATCCTTCTGAATAAATTCTCTCTCTCTCACACACACACACACACACACACACACACTTTACTCAATTGAGCAATGTCTTCCGAAGGCAAATGCCAAGTGTACTTAGACAGAGGCATTGCATCCCCGGAGAAGAATCACTTCAATTACAAAGAAAAGCAAGACGTAACTACATCTTTTTCACAACAAATTGCTGACAAAATGAGGAAGGCCACTAAGGGTTTTCTTCCCCACAAGAGAGCCACCTCCTGTGGGCGACTTACCTTCGTTTTCACGCCAGGGTTCCCCACATCCTTCTCTAGGTCAAGTCTTCCCGTGGTCCTTTCTCTGCACAAACTGGCAACAGACCCTGAACCTTTTCCCGTCAGAGAACAAGAGTCTCGTGATCACCTGCCTTAAACCCTCGGGCTAGCTGTCTTTGGCTCGCTGAGTTTAAAACGGGAATGATAACAGGGGCACTTCTAATCCTGGGCCACTGAAAGGAAAATGCGCTGCACCTGGATGGGTCGAGGCTGTAAGAACCATCTGGGGAGGGGCTGGCCCCGTGGCCGAGTGGTTAAGTTCGCGCGCTCCGCTGCAGGCAGCCCAGTGTTTCGTCGGTTCGAATCCTGGGCGCGGACATGGCACTGCTCGTCAGACCACGCTGAGGCAGCGTCCCACATGCCACAACTAGAGGAACCCACAATGAAGAATACACAACTATGTACCGGGGGGCTTTGGGGAGAAAAAGGAAAAAATAAAATCTTTAAAAAAAAAAAAAAAAAAGAACCATCTGGGGATTTTGTTAAACTGCACCTGCCTGAAGCCCAGCACAGGTGACTCTGACGCAGGTGGTCTTTGGGTTTTACTTAAAGACGGAGCTCTGTACACTTTAGTGTGCCTAAGAACTATGGCAGGGGGAGCAGAAAGATCTTGTTGAAATGCAGATTCTCGCTCAGCAGGTCTAGCATGAGTCTAACCCCCGCTGGTGTCTCCAACAAGCCCCCATGATGGGAACACTACAGGTCCACAGACCACACTTTGAGAAACAAGGCTTTAAGAAACTGTGATGGAAGGTCTTGCTGTTCACTGTGTGGTACCTGGGCGGGCACCATCAACATTATCAGGGAGATGGTTAGAAGGACAGAATCTCAGGTCCCACCCCAGACCTACTGCAGTAGAATCTACATTTCATCAACCTTCCCAGATCATTCTTACGCACGTCAGTTTGAGAAGATGACACAGGAAAACTTCAGGATCAAATTCACAAAAAAGTTGTTCTCTGCAGAAAGGTCAGAGGGGGCAAAAGAAAAAGCACAGCTTTTTGAATCCAAGACTTTTGAAACCCATGTTAAAGGTAGGCCTGGATTAGAGGAGACAGAGTAATCTACTTAGAAACCAACTTCTTAAATCCCACCCGCTGGCCGGCCCCATAGCCAAGTGGTTGAGGTTGTGCACTCTGCTTCATGCACCAGGGTTTCGCCGGTTTGGATCTTGGGTGCAGACATGGCACCGCTCGTCAGGCCACGCTGAGGCGGCGTCCCACATAGCACAACTAGAGGGACCCACAACTGCAATATACAACTAGGTACTCGGGGGCTTTGGGAAGAAAAAGCAGGGAAAAAAAAAAGAAGATTGCCAACAGTTGTTAGCGCAGGTGCCAATCCTTAAAAAAATAAAGTCCCACCCCCTTCCCGACCAAAGGTAACCACTTAGGACAAGAGTCCAGCTTTAGCTCCACAGCTCTGAATGTGAACCACTCTCATATGCTGTCACCTTTCTCTGTTTTCATTACTTCTCTATGGTCATTAGGTTAACCAATTTGGGGACCAATGGATTATCCCCATTCTGAGGATGGGGTTATAGGAATGGGGGATCAAGAAAGCCTGTAACCCTCAGCCAGAAGGTGAAGTGGAACCATTCTTTTAGACCCCTGTTACTCCCTGCAAAGATTCTACTGTGTTTCTTGTTCAGAGAGATCTGAAAAGGGCAGATGTCAGCACTTCTATAAACTGGGTACCCAGGAAAGCATATGACACATTCTAAGGATAATTTAACCAACGCTGGTTGAAGAGGTTCATTTCCAGATTTAAAGCGGTGACTTGCTGAAAAGCAGAGGTCAAAAGAAGACACGTAGCTCTTCAGGTTTCCAGAAACCAAAAAAGAAAGGGGGAAATAGCCTTAAGTGGAAAAAAAAGAAAGAAAGAATTAAAACAAAATGTTAGTTAGATAATCAAAGTCTAACAGAATCGGGGGATTATGGAGAGCCCCCACAAAAGCAGCTGGAATCAGTGAGATCCTATGTACCAGCTCTTTATTCCTTTCAGTTTTGTTTCCTTGGGATTCTGTCGGGGGAAAATGCTTGCTACAGACAGTTGCTTGCATTTGCTGATCAACAGATGAAGGAAGAGTCAAAGCAGACAGGAAACATCTATGAAGGGGAGGCGCCGGCATTGATAAACGTGGATAGGGCCAACGCAAATACTGTGTTCAATTAGCATGTTTGTGGACTCAGCAATTTCTGAAAACTATTTTCAAGTCATAGAGGACACAGGGAACCTCTGGCTCCATTTCTGGAAATACTTCTGACACCACTGCCTCCTGCTCTTCAACTCTTGAGTGTCCCACTCAAACTCAAATGTTCTTCCCTTTGTCACACCAATCTCAACATCCTTCCATCTTACTTCTTCGCCTACATTAGGATTTTACATTTTAGTAATAAAGGTAAGCCCTTAGTTGAGCTTCCTTCCTGTGTACCAGGTACTTCACATATCTTATTTAATCCTCACAACCAAGTATTTCTTGTTTAGAAATGAAATAACGGAAGCTCAGAGAGGTGAAGAAACCTGCCCAAGGTCACAGAGCTGGGAAGAGAAGGTTGTAGAATTCCATTCTTTGTCCAAAATCCATGCTCCTCTGGCTCAACCATTCTGTCCCTTGTAGCTTTTGTTCCCTCAATTCAATCTTATCTTTCCAGCCACCATGTTCTGGGTAGCTCATACTTCCTAGAACCAGTTTGGAATAAGTACCCAAGGCTTTCATTCCGACCTCATTAATCAGATAGCTCATCTCTGCACTGGGGCCCCTTCCCTGTTGCAGGGCCCCTCTCACATCCCAGAGCCACAGCTTCTGTGCCTTTTCACATAGATTTTCTCTTGAAGGTTTTGAATTCCAATATATAAACACTGGAGCTTAGGAATTAAAGTCAAGCCCTATGCCAATGTTCTTTTATGTTTAGAAAAGTCCCAAAGGATGACCACAAGCATGTTTATAAAAGACTCTTCTACCTTGGGCTATTTTGTTAAGCACCAAACTTGCTCTGTCCCATCATAGGTGTCTCTTGGTAATTCCAATACTCTTGAGCCATTCTTCCAAAACAATGACTAACACTATATTTATTCAAGTATGATTCACTCTGTTGCAATGTATAGACACAAACTCTGAATACAGAGAACTATGGAAAAGGTTACATAAGAGCAGGTACATTTGCAGAGGATGCCACTCATATTTAGATGAAAGTCCCCTGTGCAGTATTGTTTTTCACATTACACAATTACAAAGGAGGAAAGATGTTTGACTGAAAGCCAGCTGGGGGATAACTTGCCAAGCAAAACATTGAGGATCCACTGCCAACATCTCTAGATAATTCTTCTTGGGGAAGGAGGGAAGACTTCCAGTGATGAATGACTGTTTTGACTTGGCGATTAATCACAATTATGCTGAAGACCTGCCTGCATGTTACCTCCCACAGAATCCTGTAACACCTTCCTCGCTGCCACTGGCTATACAAGGGGTCCCCTCAAAATTGTTTTAATCGACTACAGAGCAGGAAATTGAGCCAAATCGCCAGATGAGACATCTGTAATAACAGTTCCTCCTAAAAAGAAGCCTGCAATCCTGTTTGTCTTTTAGTGTTGAGAAAAGGGCAGAACTTTTTCCCAAAGTCTTCAGCTTGAAAATAATGGTCTTTATGCTCACCACCACTCATTCACTCACTGAGCATCCTCAGGATATTTTAGGGGATCTCTTTTAACTTAACTTCCTAACAATAAGTCCTTCTGAAAGAAGAGTTTACTTCAGTTCATCGATTCTCTTTTGGCAAGCTCAAAACTCCTGGATTTGGACAGATTAAACACAGTAAAGATTTCCTATACCAATTCAGAGGGCATTCCCTGAAAATTCAGAAAGCTTCTCTTAAACTCCAGGATAAAGGAAGGAAGGAAGGAACACAGGAAGGATGGATTGCTGAGAGAGAGGAAATAAATCATGTAGAAGACGTATTTCCAAAACCAAAAGGACAAAACAATCCAACTAACATATATGAGCCTTTATTCTATAACAGAGACATAAATAATTTTCTGAATTCATATGACCTGTACAAAAGACAAAAGAAGATATTGCACTAAGTTCAGATATGAGATACTTGGATTTAATATGAGCTAAACAGATAAATATATACAATTTAAGGAGTTAAGGCAAAACCAGATGATACTTCAAACACAACAGAAGGTTTGAAAAATAGGTATAATTAAAAACAAGGGCATCCCATCTCCAGTTAATAAAGTAGTCATGTCTAAGGAAAACGAAAATCCCCCAGGTTTTTAATAAAGTGGTTATTATCAATCATGGAAATTAAAGTTGAGCAATAAAGTAGGAGATTTCCCGCGGAGGGGAGCTGTTTCGCCGAGGTTTGGGGATTGAGCACTTAGAACTCAGATAAGCAACTTTTTCTTTGTCAGATTTATGATCTATTCTTCCTATTAGAAAATATAATTTGGAAAATATGACTCTTTCACATATATAATTAAAATACAACTATGAAGCATTCTGTTTTTGTTTTCAAGGGAAGTCATGTTGGTGATCTCGTAGTCGGGGTAAATTTGCAGGCAAGCCATTCATTACCCTATTTGTAAAGAAGACACAAAGCCAGTCACTGAAAAACAGTCCCCGGTTACCCTAAGAGAACGAAACAAACTAATTCCAAAGGAGTAAAAACAAATGTAACCAAGATGTCAACACAGCACACAGTTCTTTGGCAGTGTCACACCGACCATTGATTGAAGCCAGAACTTTCGAGTGTTCTAATTCTCAGACCAGTTTCCAGTCTCTTAAAAATAAATAAAATTCCACATCTGCAACGAATTCAGTAATTCCAGGAAGTTAAATTCAGAATGAACCTCGCAGACAGCTTTGAACTGTTAGATTTAAGCATAGATAGGTGGTGTCTGCTGTGGGCCCCGATCCAAATATACTAAAACACACACACGCACAAAAATAATCTGTGAAACGCTGTATTGGTTCGGACAGGCCTAGAATCCTTAAAGAGAATCCATATTCACCCATGAGAAACCAATAAAAGACACCAATCCGATGATGAGGAAATGATCTTCCAATAACTCAGGGGTGGGCCGCCCCTCACCTGGATAAACATCTTGGAGAAATGAAATTCTATAGGGGGAACACCAGAAAGCCAGAGAACGTGGAATACTGCCAGCCTCCGACCAAGTTACCTTTCTCCAGTTTTAGGTAAACCTTATCCTCTTTATCTAGGTAGAGTAGGACGCCATTAGTGGCAGCTTCACGAGTAACGTCTTTGTCCCCAGCGAAGGCAGATATTACCGGTTTTCCGTTTAACATCAGGTTAACCTACAAGAAAGAAAACCACTGAAAAGTTCTCTTTAAAGTCAAAACATCTACCAGGGATAATGAATAATGTCTAAGATGAACAACCTGCTAAAATATCTGCTGTTCAGTAAATATAGCCAATTGCATGGCTAGACTGAAAGCTTTTCCATGGTAGTAAATCTGTTTACTAGATATTTATCCCTTTTATCTTAAAAATAATACTGAATAAACTAAATCTGAGGCTGATCGATTTATCGATTCACTAGGATATGTCACAGTGGTAGATGAGTGTGTAATCTGTCATTCACACGGACATAGTATACAGCACAAACATCGAGCATAAGATAAAAAAATTCTCCTAGAATCCCACAGACATGTATTGGTGCTATTGCTTGTTGGCATATTTGAATATTACAGGAACTAGCCCCACTGCTGCCTTTCAGCATAAGGTCAAGCCCACTACCTTGGAAAACACAATACAAAAGATATTGTTAACTACGGAATTGCAATTGTCAAGAATTCGCTAGCATCAGAATGACTGAGGATAAACTATTTAAAGCATTAGCATATCGTATGCTTTTTTAAAAAAAAGTACGTTGAATAATTGCTCCTTTACAAATTTCTTCTTAATGATTAGCAGTATCTCATAATTTTTAACAATAAAGCAAATTTGTTTCATCTGTTTAGTATGCACTTGTAAAGGTCTGATAGTCTTACAAGTTTTTCCTCACAAGTTCAAATAATTTTTTCACGTGCATTAAATGAAATCAACATCTTATAGAGAGATTTGTGTCCCTGAGTTTTTACTAAGCCGTGTTTTTTAAATGGTTGGCTGTTATCAAGATAATAAGTTCAATTGCTTATTTTTCTATATGCTTCTTGTTGGATGCATATAATGTGTGCATCTTAATCTTAATGGATGTTATAAAAAAGAAAATTGGAAATTAAGTATTTTAAAAAGAAACTATAAAGACGTTTATTTTTACAGTGAAAACACATCTTTGGATAAATACTTAAATACATAACCCACTACCAATGAACACTGTTGTTCGGGGGCAGAGAGGGAACAGGTCAAACACATACCTGGATTGTCTGGCTCTGGTAGACTTTAATGACATGAAAACTGAAACTGTAAATTCCTTTTCTTGGTGCTACAAAGACAGACTCCAGCGTGAAAAAATTACCCACGTTTACTAGGATCTACAAATAAAAATAATAAATAACAGTAAATTATTACAATATTTTCTTCAGTAAGTGAAATGTTTCCTTCTTTCTATTCTTCCTTCCTTCCTCCCTTCTCTTTCCTTCCTTCCCTCCTTCCCTCCCTTCCCTCCTTTCTTTCTTTCTTTCTTTCTCACTAACTAGCTTAAGAAACCATAGAGAATAAAATATTGAGTTATGTTCCTTTCCTCTTTAGTGACTTGGTAAATGGATTTATATACTGGAAGGTTCTTCTGTCTTTTAAATGGTATAGGAAAAAATTCAGTAACTGCTTTGCATTCATGCCTCAATTTCCAGCAAGGCCTGATGGCTCAGGAAACATCTAGGTAACGTGAGGGCTTATAAGCATTAGCTTTACCTTGATAGTCAGATAAAAGGCATCTGCCATGTATTTACATCCCCACCCTCTGCAAGTCTTCACAATGTCCAGAGGTGACGTTTCCAAGCCAGCCAATGACATCCATGGGCTCTCTGCAGTCATTCCTGGACACATCACACAGAGGCCTGGGCACTCCCGCCACCGTGTGACATAATCCACGACACTGAACAGTTGGTGCACAGAGCGATCTGAATGCCCGGCCCTCCTCTGAGCCTCCACCAGACCTCTCCTAAGATCCATGGCCATTTTTTTTTTTTTCATTTTTACGCCGTCTAGGCCTTAATTATAATATTTTGGCAATGACTCAGCCTTTGCAGGCTGCCAAACAGCAGAGCATGAATAAGGACAGACTGTGAAATTGGTGGCCTTCTCCTGATCCTCCCAGTGTTATCCAGTAGATACTTATCAATCACTTGCTCTTTATTTAAAGTTCAAGGGTCAAAAATAAAAAGTGAAATAAGGCACTGCGTTCCAAGAAAGCAACAATATATTTTGTATTCCAGGATGTTCAGCCTGGTTCTACTGGTTATGAAATTAACTCTGGATTTCAATACGTGACCTCTTAAACTAAATTTGTAAATGTCACATAGGTAAGTCCCTTCCTTTGAGAAAGAGAGAATGTATGGGGGGGGGGGTGCAGTTGTAAAATAACTAGGGTTGTTTCCATTTCTCTCCAAGAAATAAATCTATAAGTGTTATTCAAAAAAATGAGATGTCCTATAAAGATGCATTTCCCCTATATCCATGGCAATCTGCTACTATCTCTTTTAAACATTGCCTTCTTGCCAATATTAATACATTTTCAAGATTTTTTTTGCATAATTTGCTAAAGACATACTGTTACCTCTGAACAACGCACCAGGATATGGTGACGGTCAGGAAGATGCTCCAGGCTCAACCCCTGACTTAAAATACATGTATATGTATAGTTTTATTCTGAGATTTTACCTTCTTCCAAATAAGCATTGATTCCTTTCTCTTGAGGATTGATGACTTTTCAGCAAGTCACCAACTATGCAATAATCCCCAGAAGAGGCTTTACAAAGATCTTTTTCAAGCACAGTTAAAATAATTTGAGGTACTTAGCAGGGACTTCCTGAATCAGATACAAGTAGCATAATTCATTAGCCGTAATGGAAATGCCTGATTAGTGTTGACTACACATAAGGCTGATGTTGACTCTACATTGTAATTAGAGCATCCAGGCGCATTGAGATTTATAACTAAATGTGTCTTGTTGTCTCTAAGATGCATGGCTCCCCGAACAGAAGAACAAACCTTTCTCTTCTTCTAATTGACAGAAAGGTCATTGAAAAGGATGTACTGTACAGAAGATAGTGCAGTGTCCACAGTATTCCAACATCTAACTAATGCATTGAAATACAAACCAGGGGTGGTGCTAGACTTTATTTCCATCAAGATGGAAAATACTGCACCAAAACCCCAAAGGGGCTGCTTAAGTCTTTAAAAATTACAGCTGTCTGATAGTAAGCTTCAGAGAGGCATTCTCTGTCTTTGGCCAGCTGGAGAGTGCATTACTTAGGGACAATTAAGTAAAGAATAGAAATGTCACCTCATCCCTTCGCTGGCACATCCTGCAGTACCATTTAACCTGTGCTCCTACACAGGTGGCTTTGCATACAACTGTGAACTACACCTGTGACTTTGCAATTAAGATTTCAGGTCCTGCTAGGGTTGAATTAAAACCCCAGAGTCAGTTTTCAGTTTTAAGACTCCTTGTTAAAGCTAAGTTGATATCCCGGGGTTTCTTATTAGCCAAACCCCAGAGCTCCAGGTCGCTAAAAAGAAGCCACAGATTTCATCAGTTCCTCTCCCATCCCCTACCCTCAACCTAAAAGTCTGTCTTTCCTCAGTAATTTGCAGTTCTCTGAAAGGAGAGGAGCAGGGGAAGGGAGAGCCCTACGGGAGCTCAGCGCAGTTGTCCAATTTCTTTCTCTCTCCACCTCTGCAACTTTTCTCCAAGTACCGGAGAAGGTCTGTCGGCTGCAGTGGCGCCTGCAACGTGTATGGAGACACTGGCAGCAGAAAGGTGGGAGAGGTCTGACCCCAGCCACGGCTGCCCACCCTCTCTGGCCACCTGCGAGACCTATGAAGTGTGTGTGGATCCCCGGAGCTCTCTTTGGGGAGAAGCTTCTCCACCCGGGAGACACAAATCATTTATCCAGCATCCGCGAGAGTACCGCGGGAATGGCCTCGGCGGCATCTGCAGAGGCGTCTGAGCCTGGGGACCAAGCTCTGGCCAAAAGATTGCGAGGTCCAGGCACCAGATTCCCGCCAGCTCCTGCGGACCTGTTGCTGTTAAACTTGTCCTGAGCTCTTGCTACCCGGCTCTGCACTCCCAGCCTCTCTCCCACCGCCCCCAGCAGCCTCTTTCCGAGGCCAGGAGGGCAAGGGGGCGGGATGGTGGTGGGAGAGACATTAGAAGTTGCAGACCCAGACATATTTGGGGAGGCGAGTGTTGAAATGATTTCCGACATCGCAATCAGACCAGCTTAAGGCAGCCCCAGTCTGAGCTGCCTGGAGATCGCCCCCACCCCCAACCCCCGGGGTCCCGCATCCCTGGGGTCTGACCTGATCAAAGTAAATGATGCGCGTCTTGTTGCTCATCTCAGACGGCTCGTGGTTGGTGCTCCGCACCGCCGAGAAGGCGACCTTGGAGTTGGCCGCCCGGACCGAGATCCCCAGAGGGGAGGAAGAGGAGCCCTTGGAGTCCGTGGCGGGGTTCGAGTCGCACACCACCAGACACTTGCCCTCCAGCACGATGGGCTCCGTGTCGTTCTGCGCCCAGACGGGCAGCCCCGGCAGAGTGAGGGCCAGCAACACGGCCGGCACCACGGACAGCGCCCGGCGCCCTGAGCCCATGGTGAGCCGCGTGGGCAGCCGCAGCCGGCTGGCGCTTCCGCTCGCCCGCGTCGCCTCCTACCCCGGGACCCCGGAGGTCGGGAAGATGCCAGTGGCTAGACCGACAGCGCTGCAGGAACGGCGGCGGCGGCGCGCACACTTCCACCAATTCTGTGGTTTGAAGTCAAAGTCTCCTCTCGCGCTCTCTCGCTGGCTCTGTTACCTTTGTCCTTTAAGGAGCTCATGCAGAACCCCCTACCCCACCCTCCTCCGCCCAAGAATCAGCTCTGTCTGGGGCCCCTGCACCCACCCTTACTCCTAGACATCTAAAAGTCACCAAACCCTCACATTCACACCTCGAAGAGGAAAATGATAAATTCTCTCTCCAAACCCAAGCACTCCCAGGTGAACCACGGAGCAGGAAAACCAAGGGGACTCAGAGAAGCCAGGGGCTGGTGAGCGCCGAGCGTTGCCGATGTCGGTCCAGTACGCGTCTGGCTTGCGGCAGGGTTGAATTACAGAGGCAGAAGGTGTTTCCCAGACTGAGAAGAACGCGAGGCTGTGTTCATGGCCAGGACTCTAGCGACTCCCGCTTTCGCTTGGTCAAAAATTCCCCAAAGCTTGGTGTCTCTCGGACGTCGGCAGGTAGGCAGCGGCTAGCAGAGTCCCCAGCACGGAAAGCACAAATTCACGGGATCAGTTCCAGGGCGCAGGGCGGCTCGGCCGGCGGGGTCCTCTCCTGCCTCTGCCGCACGCCCGGAGTCCCTGCGCACAACTTTCTCTGTCCTCGCGCAGCCGGGAGAGCGCGAGGCGGGCACACGCGCGCTATTTATAGGAGCGCAGCTTCCGGCCGGGTTGGCTTCTAGCTCAACCTGCGGGCTCCCCGAAAAGGGGGAGAAGGAGTCCGGTGACCCCAGCTGGGCAGCTCCCGCCTGGCGTTTAACGCACCCCGGAGCAAGAGGGGCGCACGGCGCTGCTGGCTGCCAAGGTCCGAGGCCACTCAGCCCAGGGGAGCGCGGTGCGGAGAGTGTGTGCCCAGAGAGAGGCGCCCACAGCCCTCCGCTTGCCCCAGCCCCGCGCCTGCTCGCCTGCTGCTCGGTCTGGGCCGGCGGAGGGGGCTGCGGCTCTCCTCGCCCCTCCCCAGCGCGGGACTCCGCCGCCGAGCGCCCTCCCAGCGGAGCGCGTTGCTGCCAGCCCCGGCTGCGGAGCTAGATGGGCGGCTGCGGCCCCGCGTGGCGCGCTGCCCGGGACCTGGGGACGACCGGCTGGCGTCCTGACCGCGCCGGGCCCAGAGCCTGCCCCACAGAGCCCTGGGGCTTGGCGAGCTCTGGGAAGCCTCGGGGCGGACCAAAGCCGACGGGGGCCGCTGGGAGGAGGTGCCTTACGCTTTCCGCTCCAGGAAGATGAGCCTTAGAAGCCACGGGGCCGCGCCTTGCCACCCACACCGCGAATCCACCCTAGGCAAGGCCAGAAAAAGAGTGAGAGAGAGTTCACTCAGCAAGAAGAAGTCCTCCGAAACCGAACCCCTAAAAAAAGTCAACCCCCCTCCTGAGGATACAGCACCTTTTCTCCCGTGGTGTGCTGCCCTCCCCTCTGTGCCACCCCACTGCTATCTTGGCCTCTGATTGGCAAGATGAATCTTCCTCTTCTGCAGCCACCACTGGGAGCAAAGGGCTTGTCTCTGTGGTCGGCTACCTAAACTTGGCCAAGGCACTTACCCTCCTGAGAGGGCGGGACCCTGCTAACTAAGGTCGCTCAGCCCTCCAGTTCTGTGATGTTTTGGGGACATGTCCCTCCCTTTCCAACTTCCTTTCAGACTTCCAGCTGCCAACAGCATTCCCATCAGTCATTCGGAGCGCCTGGAAATGTATTGACTAATTATTAATTGATGGGATGTTTGTCGAGCAATGTCCCCCAGATGGACAGCTCCCTAGTCCTTCCTGAATGAAGGACATCCTCATTAGCATGGATTCAAGCCCCTCCACGACAGAAGCCAGGCCTGCATCTCCAATCTTGTCCCCATAAGGCCCTTCAGGAGGGCGGGGTATTGGGCTATAAGCATCACACTGCAGTTCCAATTGTTAAAATCAGAGCTACTCCTACTGGTTGGTATTTCCCTGCCTCCACCTCCTTATAATCTTGCAACTGAAGAGTTGGTGCCTGGAGCCATCGGGCCTCCAGATTCTGCTACAATGGGGCCAGTACCAGTTCTGATTGGCAGGTGCTCCTGCTGTGCTATTTGTTACAATGCTGAATGTCACTACTCTAAACTACAACTAAAGAGGGTGACCTGGTGCCTTCTGAAGATGGCCTTTGCTGCCTTTGTTACTCCCTCCAGCTCTTCCCACAGTCAGCCTGGAGAGCAGCTGCAATTTCCTCTCATGTGATGCTGTCTTTGAAAGGCAGGTTCCTCTTTCTCTCCATAGGGGTGAGCGCTCTGCTTTCCTTGTCCAGGACAGCTGTTTAGTAACTAAGACCTGGGCTGTTCAATTTCAGGCTGGAAGGAGTATGAGAAAAAAGTCCTGTTGACTACAGAATTGTTAAATAGTCAATAAGCTATGTTTCCCCAGCAACCCCAATATATTCTCTCTGCATCCTTTTCTTCTCTAAGTATCGTTCTTCCTGCAAGAACTGAAGTTTAAAGAAACTTCTTCCTTCCCTCCTCTTACCCTCACCAAAAACACTCATTTTGTTGCCCCAAAATTCAGCAGAGTGACCATCTTAGGGACTCAATAATTGATTGTGAAATGACTGGATGCTTCCAGACAGAATGTAATTATCAGTCAGTCACCTTATAGTATCAACTGGTTTAAATGAATCTCTCTCAATAAATTTAAATTCAAGGCTTTCCAGGTAATTGGAAACAAAAGTCTTGGTTCCTTACTAAAAAAATGTTTAAACACCACATCTTCTGTCAACTCCTACTAAGAGAAGCTATCTGATATCGTGAATGTCAGGGTCCTGTCTCCCTTTCCTGCCACAGCTGATTGAACAGAGACAGCTCCTGGGTTCTAGGACTGTCAATCCATCTGACGCCAGAAGTCCATGACTTGCATGTCCTGATGCAGCCAGAGGAGTCAGGGCTGCTCGATTTTGTCTCTCTAGGATCTGAATGAGACACTGGGACGGCTTCCAGTGAGCACTGGGTCCTGCAGAGGAGAGGTCTATAGTCTCCTCGACTAGCCACCTGCAAGGAGGAGTGTGTTGGGAGAAATAGGAGGACGGCCCACACTTGTAGACAGAAGCCGATTCTGGACACTGTGCACTTCTGAGAGGTGGAGGGAGTGAACAGGGAATCTCCAGTTCATAATGCCTGCTCCCAAGAGGTCCAGCAGCACTTCCTTCTAACCTTGGGTTTCTTATGAGCCTCCTGTATCCTTGCACTAAATCTCACAGCACTTGAGCTGGCTTTACCATCCTTGCCACCTAGAGTCCTCATTGGAACAACATCCCAGAAAGCAGACCACATAAGCCCATGCATTTCCTGCCAAAAGACATGAACAAATCCAATCCCTTGCCTGTGGGAAATGTTTCCCTCACACTTTGAGAAAGGAAGAATCACCTGCTCCCCACACCCTCCACTCCAGCCCCAGCATCCCCAGGAGAAAAGAAACGGAACCAAGTCCGAGTCTCATTCCAGCCACAGCACAGATCTGCTTCTTTCTTTCTTTTCTTTCCTTTTCTTTCCAGTTTCAAATGTACTGTTAGGAAACCTAGTTGTGACCCAAATGTTCCCCTTTTCTGAGATTCCCAGATTGATGCCCAGGAATTTTGTTGCTAGACCTATAGTGATTTCCCTTCTCTGCACTTGGGCTCAACTTAGAGTAAATTAGTAAGTTAGTAAAGTAAGTTAGAATCTGCACTGGTCTTGCACAGGGAAGTGATATTCCTGTGGTAAGTAAATTCCAAGACTGCTGGTCTGACCACCACTTAGAGAAACCAAGTTTCAAGCAAGCCCAAGACAATAAGGATCCATGAGCAATTTTCTGTTTCTGAAGAAAAGGTCTCAAAGAAGGCAAAGACAAACACACAAGGTATTCAGCTCCAAGGGTCTCACCTGGAAAATAACCCTGTTGTTGAATGAAAGAAGACCCACGCAGGATGTAGCGGGCAGAACCTTGGGTCAGTCATGCAGAAGGTGGAAAATCGAGAGAGAGAGAGCGAGCAGCTAGGCTCATATCATACCCAAATGAAGGACCACAGGGTCACTTAATTACCCTTCGCTCTCTATACTGATAGTTATCAATCCAAGCAAATGCTATTCCTCAAGGGAGAATAAGTAGTTTAAGGAGAAAAAGGCTCTGTGAGTAACCAATATGTGACTACTGGCAAGTTTCAGAGCAGTGTTGAGTAAATCCTCAGGACTCCCTCTGGAGACAGCCAAATCACTGACTTGTTTTGTAGGGAGATGGTATTGGTGGGGAAAAGTAGCTGGATGATTTAAAAATCATTTTAATTGAGTTTATAATTTAAAAATTGTTTGAGATAGTTCATCTACAACGTCTCCTCCCATCACCACACTGGCCAACACAGTACATGTCTAAGATGTCAGCAAGCAGTCGGACTTCTTGGTTAGGGCTGCAGACAGGTTTTGATGCCTCTTTTTGGCCTTCCCATAATACCCTATGCTTGCCCCAGTCATTATATTTATCCCAATTTCTGAACTCGTTGATTTATTTGTTGTGTTCTCCATGAATTATCAACCCCTTGAGAGCACAGGATTGAGCAGAGAGTCAATAAGCAAAAAGAAAGTTTACCGAATAAAGTAACTTAGCATTGCCCTTATTTCTCATAAGGGAAATAATATACCATTTACTCACTATGATGTAAGTGTGATAGGAAAAATAAAATTCTTTCAAAAAAGTTTAGGGGCTTGAAATGTTTAATCCATCCTTAGTTACTAAGAATAGAAGGCCAATGAGGCACAAAGGGAATTTATTGGAAGGACCCTATCTCACAGAGTGCAACGGCAGAACTGAGCCTTGGGAAAGGAAGGAAGCTTTATGGGTAACCCAAAACATTGCCTCTGCGCTCCCTCTCCCCGCTCCCCATCTGCTCCTCCTCCCCGTCTCCCCGTCTCCCTCTTCTCTCTCTCTCCCTCTCCCCATCTTCCTCTCCCTCCCCCCGCAACTCTATCTCCACCTCCATCTCTCTTTCTCTCTCCCTAACGCTCTGTCTCCATCTTTATCTCTCTTTCCTTGGCACATCTGTGTTATTCTTTTGCTCACTGCATCCTAGCTTTCTCTGAAGCCTACATGATGGGCAGTGGCAATTGACACTCTCAGTTTTACACATATTAGATCCATGCACTCAGAGGACACCCCAAAATACCAAAGAAAAGACTCATTGCCCCATCTGTATCAAATGCCCACCCCCTGGCACAGATTTCTGTGCACACACAACTGACTCCCAGCAACCAGGAATGTCACAGGAACAGGATCAAGGGGAGAGGAAGTGAAAAGAGAAAAGTGGACATTCATTTGTATGGTGTGACTCTGTGTTCATAGTCTGTAAGTCTTTGAAGATACAGGTACGTTTGAATAAGCAGAGGAAAAACTATGAAATGCTAGACAGCGAACCATCAACTTTAGAGGATGGAATAGAGGGAAAGGAAACCCCATTAATTTGACTTCAGATGTTTATTGTTTGAATGGTCACAGAAATCATATATTACACTGTGATTCACATTTAAAATAATGTTTTTGGGGCCAGCCTGGTGGTGCAGCAGTTAAGTGCACACGTTCCGCTTTGGCAGCCTGGGGTTCGCCAGTTCAGATCCCGGGTGTGGACATGGCACCGCTTGGCAAGCCATGCTGCGGCAGGCATCTCACATATAAAGTAGAGGAAGATGGGCATAGATGTTACCTCAGGGCCAGTCTTCCTCAGCAAAAAGGAGGATTGGCAGCACATGTTAGCTCAGGGCTAGTCTTCCTCAAAATAATGATAATAATAATAATGTTTTTAGGGGATAGGTGCTGGGCAGACTATCCAGCAAGTATTTACAACATTAATTTTTTCTTCATAATTTAAACAAAGTTCGGAGCGAAAAGGAAGTAAAATTGTTTCTCCTAAGTGGCACAGGTGGAACAGCAGTTCTCTTTCTTTTGTTATATTGATCGAACTCTAAAAAATCATTCACTCAAAGTCTAGGAAGATGCCCAGACATATAAAACCTCACAGTGCACATTTAAGAAAAAAATTACACTGCAACTGGTAAAGCTCACACATAGTATCAAAATTTCTGATTACATTTTAGATTCGGCTCGGCTCTTTATAGAACATGTGAGCACTGGGGAAAGCCTAGCTCGGTGTCGGCACATGCTCCGTGCCCAGCCATTGTTAGTTTCTGTTGCACACAGTAGGAGGGTCTGAACGTAGGGTCCTCACCAACGGCTTCTACTTGTGAGAATCTGCTGGGAGGGTTACTATCAAGGCAGACTCTCTGTCTCTACTCTGAGATGATGGTTCTGCCCATGAACTGGGAATATGTTTATTAATTAGCACCCAGGTGAATCCAAAGCAGATGGTGCTCTGACTTTGTAGATGCTGCTGGTGGGGTG